GAACAAAATATATTCAGCCTAGAATGCTTCGCTTTGGTGTGACTAAGGAAAATTCGCTCAGAATGACAATGCGATTTGTTGCCATTACTTCATACTATGTGCTCGCAGAGCTCGTAAAATTTTGACCTAGCAGTGGGGAACACATAAAACAGTTGGACGCGCACTAATGGCATTTGTTTCCCCCTTCGTACACTCACGACTAACAGCAGCAGCTAGCTCGATCGAGGTCATTCTGTCATTGCTGTGTGTGCGGTGGTCGATAGTTCTGTGTTGCTGTGCTGCCGGCTGTACAACCAAGCCATTTTCCATTACGTTGAACGCCTAACAACCCGGCAACCACAGTTAGTCAGCTGACTTAGTGATAGATGTGTGTGATACCGCTAGGTTTGGTGAGGTAATGAAGCTTTCAAGTGAAATATCGCTGCAAAAACCACCTCCTATGTTCTCTAATATTCAAGGCTTTGGCGTTGTTAATGGCAAATGTTTCTTCAAGATTATATTGAACTCTAATTCTGTGATTTCTGCGCATTTAGAATTTATTTTATCAAAAGCTAAGATAAGGTGTTAATGCACACGCTTGCTACATGCTAAAAACACAATTTCCAACCCCGAAAGCGATGGCGTTCAAATCCGCCGTTTGCGTATTACCTTATTTTGTCCACTTGTCCCATGGTGATGGCAGCACCAATAAATCGATATTTGTGAGTTCCTATCTTGGCTTTCTGCGTCCTCTTGTGCTGACACAACCAACGTTTTGTTGGTAGGGCAGGGTGATGTATCTAAACATCCTGGTATTTGAATCATCTTTAAATAGTCTTTTCGTGTATTATAATAAGTTTAATGCAATTGAACCCTCAGTCAGCATTTAGACACGAACCTATACATAATTATTTAACTTCACTGCACTTCATCCCTCCGTGAAAGCTATGTGGACAAAAGTCCGTTGCTAGGATTTTGGTAGAGCATTTTCAATATTTGTCGGGAAATTTCCTCCCTGTAGATGACAGCTCCATTAAAGAAGAACATGATACCCTCAGTCTAACCAGGTAGAATGCCAATCAAGGGCGAAAATATGCTTCATTTGTTAGCACGCGTTTATCTGACGAAACTTCCATATGAATTTTTTTCAGTGGTTCCAACTAATGCAGCACAGAGTATTATTTAACAATCGTTTGCAACTTCGCTAAGGCAATACACCATTTTTATGGGTATTCTCGTTCTGCCGTTGCTCTACTCGTTCCTCTGTATCCTATATTTGGCACGTAAAATGTTAAAGTGACGTTAAAAATGTTCCAATAATGAATCGAATCCTTTTAGCGCAAAATATTGTTATTTGGTAAACTATGTTGACGCTATTCCCTGAGTTATTTGAATTCGTGTATTTAACAACAATATCTGAGGTAAGGCTTAAGGCTGTGGAAAACGGGAAATAACTAACTACCCAACAGAGCTTCTTTACTTGTGCGGAACACTGCGTGATTAAACGAAACCTTGGCCACGGATGTGTGCAGCCCAATTGCAATTTATGAGTTCAACCACCATTGACAATCCAGAGCCTCCTGCATAAAAATCCAGATTTCAGGCAGGACTGGTGGGGTATTAGTTACGCTACTAAACACGTAAACTCATTCGAATATTTTTCTGCCTTTGGCTCTGCTATAACTACCACTAATTTGAATCATATCAACATATGCACCTTTTACCCTGAAACATTCCCTTTGGGGATAATTATTGTGTTGTTGTGTTTGCCAGGCAGCTGGCACATGGGCATATGCACAAAAGGTCATTGGAACAAGCACGCAAACGGAAATAAACAACAACACGCACACACGCCAGACGACCAGACACACACACTCGCCCGGGAACAAAAACACGCGCACACACAAGCGAACGCCCTTCTGGCGCCGTAGGGTGATGAGGCGGGGTGCTGCCTGGCACAATCAATGGCTTGTCTTCTTTTGTGGACGCACAACGGGTGTGCGTACAAGCGCCTGTCTAAAACGGTGCAGCCCCATTGTGAGCCGCGTCATCGGTAAACGCAGACACGGAGCTGAGGGCTGTGCACGAGAATTGCACACATGAGTGACCGTCTTACGGTGGTTGTGCGCACCGTCGACGTGCCCACTGATTACATCTCAGATACTTGCACGCATAAACACACACACAGATGTGTGTGTGATGAACATTTTGACGCGTAACGCACACACCGCTGCGTGCTGCTCGCCGGTGGTTGGGCCAGCCAATCAGAACCCGAATCAGTCAGTTTAAGGCACGCACGTCTGTTTACAATGATGATGAAACGGCATGCACGCACCATGTGACGCAGGGCAAATTAAGGGCATCTCTCCTCCCTCCCCTTCCTTCCCTCATCGCACTCTCACGAACACCAACCGGTTTTCACAATAAGCGCGGGACTGTCGGCTGTTGGGTAACCGCGTGTGCACACTCTCAGGGATTATTACGCATTCGGTGGATGATTTCCACCTTCACTATCCACTGGCACCTTTCGATTTGGACGACAACGCACGTTTCCGTGAGTTTATCACTGTTTCACATGTTAAAATGTTGTCGGGGAAATCCTTGGCGCAAGCATGCATTAATTAAGATAGTGTTAAAGGGAAGTAAAAAAAGACCATATGCCAAATCGCTAGTTGGTCCTCATTCAATACTGGCCAGATACCGGGTAGAATGTGCGAAATCTTAGGGCCACTATTCACCAGTTTCGTCCTTGTCGTTGCTTTTCAGGATTTGGGAAACTTCAGCACACCTTTGCTGGTTGAAAATTTTCCTCCGGCTCAAAAGCCGAAGCTTCCTGCTGTGAATTACCAACACTTGGTTGGGAGTAGTGGAAAGCGAGCTCGTGCACACCAAGAGGGGTCTGCAATAAGACAAGCCGTCAAAAATAATGACTGAACACGCTATCAAAGCCCCCACCTCTCACAACCATGTCCAGTTATCCCTTTCATTAAGTATTCACTCTTCATCCGCCCCTCCCCCATTTTGTAGGTAGTTTGTGTATTTGTGTGCGTGCCTGTGTGAGCGATATGAGAATCATAAGAATTAACTAGAAATACGCGTGCACCTGGGTTGGAGAAGGGGGGAAGACGTGAAGATACGCAATCAGGGTCTATTGTACTGCCTTTTTGTCTCCTGTTTCCTCCCTGTGATTAGGGTGTGAGGAAAAGGTGTGTGGGCAGTGGGAGGGGGTCACGCATGTGTGGGACACGCCCACACGGGGAGAGCAACCGTCATTGTGCTTGCCCGCGAGTCCTCGTCTGTGAGGACTGCCTCGAGGAGTTGCTACTGCTTTATTGCTTTGGATGGAATGCTTGTGCACTGGACATCTTTTGTGCCGGTTACCTTTTGGAACAGGAATGTTCTTTCTTCCGTTTACCTAATTTACGAAATCTGATATGGTGCATGCTTTACCCAAAGCTAAAGATCTTTTCTCAAATGACCCTTCCATCAATTTTAGCCGTACTTAAATACTATTTTGTTATGCTACGTGGGTAAAAGCACTATGTTTCAACTTAGGACAGGGCATTCATCGCAAGTTGGAGCCCATGGCACGTGAGAGGGGACACATTTTCCCCCACTTATTGCTCCCCATTTAGGAACTGTGAAACCCAGAAATCTGTCGAAACCCAGAACATCGATTCTGCTCACGCGACTTGCCTTACTAGATTTTAACCTAATTAAACACTGTAAGGCACAATGTTTCCAAAAGTTGGTCTCAAACCTTAGAGCCTTATTTGCAGGAATATCGTTAACCTGATAAATAAGAACGGTTTTAATTCACGGAGGATAAGTATTGCTTCGTTTGATGTTTCAATTAGATATTCCAGTCCAAATTTCAAGCTGCAGAAGACATATACGGTTAAAAAGACGAGTTTCTGTTAGCGAAATTTCCCGCCTACCAGACATTTAATTTTTCAATATTATCTGGGTTCTTCGGAAATAGCGCTTGGCACACAACCACCAAACACGTATGTCTGAAACGCAGCCGTTGCCATCGCCAAAAATGCGTTATCATGGAAATGGATAAATGTCCTTAACAAATCGAAATTGGCCACACAATTTTTCCCCGTGTCCCTCTTGCCCACAATATTTATTAGGAGTGAGGTCTTTTTATCTCAAAATAACTAAGTTAGGTGGAGCATAAGACGATTATTGTTAGTATAATTCAGTTATTCGAAGTTTTTTTCGTCATTTATGCAACCCGTAACCGACAGTTAAAGTGTCTGGAATTTTTGCAGCATTTGCTTTATTACAGGCGTAAAACACATGGTCCCTCCTTTAGTTTATGAAGCTGGGTTGTTTCTCAACGGTAAAATATCCTGAAACAGAGCTGAAAATTTTAGTTGAATTGTTTGCTAACCAGTAGTCGCGTAATTTTTTGAGTAGAACAAACAATCTACTTAACACGTAATTAGCCACTACTAAATGGCATATCTTCACTTGTTGGTAAGTACTGATGATATTACGGTGCATCCGATTAGAGGCAAAAGTGCTTTACGTGTTTTCTCAAAAGTTACAATATTTGTTTGAAATATGAAGCATGATTGATATAATATCCATTAGCATCAGTCGATGTTCAGTATGAAATGAGTAATTTTGCAATAAGTTCCAATGTTTGAATGTCTGATAGATTAAGTATTGGTCGAACAGCCTGAAAATTGGCTTGGTATTCTTATAATCGAATAGGAATTAAACCAAACAGACCTTTGAACTCTAACGTAAATCATTTTCCTGCATATAACTATTCATTTCAACGAGACACCCGTTGATCTCAAACCAATTAAAGGCCTTTTGGCTATACAGAGAACGTTTAATTATTTTTTAGCTACGCGCCGCCGCTGTGATCAATGTCTTGGAAACGCAAAGCCAATCAACCTAATAGACTGAAGGATCTATCTTCAAATTCGCCCTCAGTTATCCATAACGTTTACGATTCTCCTAAGCCTTCAGAAACCGTTACCACAACCAATTGCACAACAGCGATGGAGTTCGTCCCCTTTCTTCCTCCATCTACCAACCACGGAGGCATCCTCAACCTGTCGCCCACTGCAACAAAAACCATTTCCTCCAAATCCCAACGGGAGGCTGCCTCTGCAGACATCATGTCTATACTGCGAGACGCCTGTCTCTCGTCTAGCCTGAGCAGAGAGGAGAAGATCTCCCTTCTGTCCGAGGTTACCAGCCAGATAAGCGGCCTTAAAAGACAGCTAAATTCTCCACATCTCAATAGCAAGGTGAACTTTTGATTTATTTCCTATAAAAAAAGAATTCGCTAATTTGCATCTACTCTATTAAGTCGTTGGTTATTGTTAATGCAGATATACTGTGTCAAAGTGGACAAATTCAACAATATGGGTTTAGTATATCTCGAAACATGATTGACTAACCTCACACTGGGGCAAGGATGACAGACCTCTTATGGAATGCAATTAGTCAGTAAAACAAGGGTTGCAACAAACCAAATAACTTGGTCTTCAACTGTCCATGCTGTCCACAAAAGATATTTTCTACGTTATCTTCATGCAAGCGTAAAACAGCATCTTATTTTCATAGCGACAGGTGAAGTTGAAGAAGCATTATTTTAAGTTAATTATTCCTGAAAATTCGTGTCCTTACTAGCTTTGTACGTACTTGTAGTAGTCGTGTTCTAAGCTGCGGTTGAACTGTCTCTTACAAAGTCAACAGATTCATAAAATGACAATTTGGTCAGTTCATTCAATTCGGACCTCCTTGCAAAGGCACGCGCTCGATCATAATACAAGTAACTACGATTCCCAATCGAATGTCCCCAAGAATGCTGACTCAAATCTGAGTGATTGTCCAATGACCAGTTGTCACCACTTCATAGACACCCTTTCAGTACAGCAGTAATTGCAACCCTCAGCTGGGATGTTACAATCTGCTCTACAATTCCCCTTTTTAAGTTGGATGGACCGCTGACAACTCATCAGCAGACCTGTTCTACATGGAGGGTTCTTGAACACGAGTGACAAAATGCTTTGTTTAGGGCTTAAGTTGAAACCCTAGTAACTATGGGCTCATCTTAGTGGATAAACAGAGATGCCAATTCGGGGGAAACAGGAGTGAAGTGAAGGCGTGAATGATCGCCCTCTCATAGCATGCATCAGTCCCTAGTTTTGGTTAACACTCCCTCGTTTGTTACGTAGCGCACATGATTGTGTACGTGTGTGCCACCTCTTCACTCGAAGACAGTGGGCACTCTGTGCAGTCGTCACTGGCATTCCCAAAACTAGAGCATTGTTCGACAATTCCCAGTCGAGACTTAGTCACCCCTCTTCCCTCCTGGCGGTAGTAGAAGCAGGCACACACATGCATTTGTTCTTTAATTGTGTTTGGGTTCGTAGGGTTCGGTTCCCGTCGCCTTGACGGCGATCTTTGATTACTTCTAATTTAATGCAGAGCACTGGAGTGAAACTTTGAACCCATAACAGGAGCATCTAGTTGTAATAATGCAAGCCAGCCAGCGCTTCTGCTCCCACAAAAATCCGACAAACCACGAATTTCCGGTGCTTGAGCCGAGACTTTCACTGAATTTTAATACTGTGCTGTCCATCTACTTCACTTCGGTCGCGAATTTCTTTTCACCAAGCTCTTCAGACTACTATGGTTAATACGCAAATCCCTAATGCCCTGTATGGTAATGTACTAAACCTTATTTCCCAAGTTAGAATAACAAATAATGGCATTCCTAATGGCGAGAGCGTGCCATACTGACGAAATCCGGATAGTAAAGAAACTAAGGAAGTCAAAATATTGTTTGCTACTTAAGGTTATCAGATCGGCTAATTCCTAACGGAATACTCCTAAAAGTGAAGTAGTTGCGGCGTATGCACTGCTGCCTCCTGTTTAAAGTGCATTTTGACGAAACAAGACAGCCCAATGAAATGCAGTGTGTTCACACTTGGGGTTATGAAGAGTTGCCGTAATACTGTACTTTTTCCACATGGACCAAGCTACATTATCTAAGTGTTATACACAGCAGGCTGACGACGAGACACCACTGAACCTGACACAGGAAAAGCGCGAAATCTTGGGGACCAAAAGACTGGAGACCACCCAATGCCATGGCCAGGACAGCACCACTCCCAGTCTTCCTTCTTCCCCTTTTAACGGCAGTCTCGTCGATTCTGGCAAAGTCAGTTGCCTCCCGGCAAAAGCTGGTGGAGATCTCAAACCTCATTTCTCGGTTTGTTCCGGCCTGCCAAGAGTTTCATGTGGAGTAAGTTTGGATTATTCATGCCGCTAAAAAACCAATGCCAAAATACTAAGTTCGCTTATTGTTTCTACTAGCTCTGGGTGTCAGTGATTAATGCACTTCGTAGGTTCACCTCGCGAACGGGAGCACACTGTTCGATCAGAAGTTTGTGGATATCAATTTGCGCAAGTAAATACCGCAACCCCGTTGGTAAAATTGTGGACCTTCTGCTTTGTGGAGTTGTCAGTTTTAGGATCCACAGATACTTCCGCGAAATAGTGATGGCTGCGGTGGACATTGTTATTCACCAATAAATCTTTTAGAGTCTTAATCTCGGACAAATATCAAAATCAATCAATTATTTAAAAAAATTGTTTTACTTTATTGAAGCTGATGGCGAGGTGATGCATGTTAGCCTTCCGCCAATCTTGTCAACTCCTTATTCGGACTCCTGCAGAATACTGTCCTAATTGACAACGCCTAGATGCGTCGTTCTTGGCTTAGTCCCACATCCTCAGAATTCTGTGTTTAAGTCGTTCTTCAAACGCTGTTTTGGTTAGCACATCAAGTACTACAGACAGACTATACGTGAGCCAAGTTCATAGCCACGGGGAATCTGTGTGCAAAGACAATACCAAGGAACGCGTGACCCACGTTTGAATTTTGACGATCACTACAGTCCCCGAGTCAACATATGTCCAGAGTTTGAGAAAGTGATGACAACAACCGAAACAATCCTTGTCGATATCCGCGAACGTCAACCAAAGCATTTTAAGAAGTAAATCTTTGTTGTCGGCGTTAGGAAAGTGGTTATTTGGTTTGGAGAATCTAGTGAGGAGTGACGAATTCCGTTATTCCTTACTGATAAGGGCATGATTATACAACAGTGCTTCAAAGTTATGTTGGGATTTTGGACCACGACATGATTACAGACATAAAATACCACCACTTGTACTATGATTTAAGTAGTTCAGTTTGTGACCGTCTACTAACAGCATTTACGAACCCTCTGTGAAAAAAATTCTGATTCTTCATTACAGATCCCATTGCTCGATGTCGGAGCAAGTAATCCTTGCGAACTTCTGTTTAAGATGATTCAGGCGTGTCAAGAGAACGCCTCCATTAGCACACACTGTGGTGACAAGCCACAACAATCACCTGTCTCAGCTCCACCATCAGCCACCTCGGCAGGGGAGGTCCCCATTATCCCACTCGGTCTCACCCATGTCCCCCTTCGGGACCAGACCCCTCCTTCGACGCTTCCGTTACCACTATTGGCAATCAAGTCGGAGGATTCCAAGTCGGAGCAACAACTCTTTGCGCAGTTAGGACTAGATCCAGCCCTGATTTCCTCCCTCCAGGGCGGACTCAAGGAAATGGCAGTTGCACCCCTGACATCAGCAAGTCGGCTGACCACTGGGGACCTTTTCTCACCAAACAAACTGTTCCCCATTCCGTCACAAAGTAACGGATTCCCGTTGATGCACCAGTCACCATCATTACAGTCATCACAGCAAGTGGAGTGTGAACAAAGGCCGAGTCCACGTGGTGGCTTCGGACAATCAAGGAAAGTAAGTTCTTCATGAGATTTGTTATCATTGTGGATTCCTACACACGCGGGAACACCAAACGTAATAAAACAGCAGCCAAAATGTGTCGTCGTAATGCATTATTTGTGAATTCGTCGAGACGGTTGACAAGCTTCTGGAACATTCCAAAGTTCAACAACTTACACGATTGAATTAGACTAGCAAGAATAGTTTCCGAATGGCGGTGTAGTTTCAACTGCAATTTTGGCCAGACGCAATGCACGCACGAGTTCAAAACATTTTCTGCATCTTCCTATGTCTGCTTAGCCTGTGAGACACAAGTGGGCGCACCTAAGTGCACGCGACTTTCCTGTTGTCCCGTCGCTAAATGCGTGAACGTGGATTGTAACAATGACTCACAGCAGCAGTTGCGT